TGGTGCCCAATGTTAACAACAACTGATGGATAAGCATTTGAGTAATGTCAATAAAACCCCGCTGATCGTAAATACAAGTAGCGTTTTTCATTTTAATGGTTGCCTGGTATTTTAAAGTTTCGCTTATAAGCGATAACAGTTTTACAGTGTTTGAAACACCAGCTTACAATGAACATGTCAATTTATTTACTTGTCCTCTTTGCATTGCTGCAGAGAGGAACTTCTATGGACAATGGCTTAGCGAGAACACCACCTATGGTTTGAATATATTTATTGAATATATTTTAAGCTTGATTACAAACTGATTCTAATCTATAAACCTAAAGGGCTGGATGTCTTGGCTTTTTGCAGAATGTAATACAAATTGTGAAAAGCACCCGAACAACTGCATTAACGAGCAGTTGTTTAAAACGATGATTGACCTAATTGTTGATGATGGCTACCTCGAGTTGGGCTACAACACTGTCAACGTTGGTAATGTTTTTCGGTAAACTACTTGACTGCTTTACTAATACCTTTTTGGCAGATGACTGTTGGGCTTCAATGGACAGAGATCCTACCACTAACCGTCTGGTGGCCGACCCAAAGCGGTTTCCCAGTGGAATGGCCGCACTAGCCGATTACGCACACAAGCGAAAAGTGCAACTCGGTGGGTACAGTGACATTGGAAATGCCACTTGTCAGAACTACCCAGCTACAAGGAGCTTCAACCGAACTGTGGACTACACAGAAGTAGATGCCAACACGTTTTCCGAGTGGGGAATTGATTCTTTGAAAATGGATGGCTGCAATCCAATCAACAATACGACAGAGTACTGGAAAACGTACCCAGAGTTCTCTGATGCATTAAATAAACAAAGTGAGTTGTGGATATTTGACTTTGACAACCTGACTAATGTCCTCATCAACAGAACATAAGGTTGTTTTTGCTTGCAGTTGGCCAGGTAATTTCCTTTTTTGATAACTACAGAATAATTTTTTAACAAACTTTCTACTGAAACAGCATACATTGATGATGCCAATTTGAAGGATTCTGATTACGAATTGATAAAAAAGAACTGCAATTATTGGCGGAACTACGGCGATATTGAGGATACATGGGCCTCAGTTGTAGACATCATTGAACACTACCGAAAGTACTGGAGTTTGATCTCTAAACACCACGGCCCTGGAGGATGGTTCGACCCAGACATGCTAATCCTCGGAAATAAGGGCTTAACCTTTGAACAGAGCAAGGTTCAGATGTCTTTTTGGTGCCTGTGGTCGGCGCCCCTGTTGATGTCCAATGATTTGCGTCACATCAAGCCGGAGATTAAAGCAATTCTGCAGAACAAACATCTGATTGCTGTCGACCAAGACCCACTTGGTGTGATGGGCGGCAATGTGATCAGTGATGGGCAAAAACAAGTGTGGCTGAAACAGCTGTCAGGCGATCCTACTCCCTATGCAGTACTCTACTTTAATCCTGAAGATACTGATGCCACTATGTCCTACAAACTATCGTCCATTCTACCTGACGTGAATCCAAGCGGCTCATACCTAATCTTTGATCTTTTTGATGATGGCCATCTAATTGGCACCTTGACTTCTGAACAAAACCTGACTCTGATTGCTAAAGCCACTGGGGTTGCATTTGTGAAAATCGTCCCTAAAAGATGCTAAAAAAATGTTGTTTAATAAAAATTTGCTTAAAACATTTCTTCCACTTAATTACCATAGCAGTGCTAATCTCATGCAACCACTTGCCCGATAAAAATTTGCTTGCTTTATTGCCAAACACAGAGATTTACTGCGCCTTTTTTGTTCTAAAACATGAAGCATCTTCTTTTGCTGGTCGTAGTTCTAGCTCTAAACCACGGTCCGTCATACAGCTGGAACAATGGACTACTTCGAACGCCTCCAATGGGGTTCCTCAGCTGGGGCCGCTTCAGCTGCAACATTGACTGTGCCACCTACCCGGACAGCTGCATTAATGAAAAATTGTACATGGATATGATCGATCGCATTGTGGAGGATGGATACCTTGAATTGGGCTACAACACCGTCAACATTGGTAAGTTGTTGTAAATGAATGTCATTTTTCAAATACTCACAATCGTTTCAGACGACTGTTGGGCTATGAAAACACGAGATCCTGTCACCAAGAGACTGGTTGCTGATAGGGATCGTTTCCCCAGTGGCATCAAGCATCTCGTAAACTACGCTCGACAGAGAGGTGTTCAGCTTGGCATTTACGGTGACGTAGGAACTGCTACTTGCGGCGGATACCCCGGCACGAGAAGCTACAATGGCTCAGTAGACTACACCCAAGTGGATGCCAGGTAATGATTTGAACTTGCAATTTGAACCTTTTAAACTGTTGTCAACAAATTGCAGGACATTCTCCGACTGGGGAGTGGGCTCACTGAAACTGGACGGTTGCTACGAGCCAATAGCCGACTATCCAAAAGTATATCCTGAATACACAAAAGCCCTAAGCCAGCAAAGTAAGTTATTTGAACTTTAACATTCAGTTTTAATATCCAAACTTTCTGATTCAGCTCACAAGATAGCATTCGCCTGCAGTTGGCCGGCTTACATTGATGTGTCGAATCTCACAGACGCAGATTATCAGCATATCAGAGACAACTGCAACTATTGGCGAAACTACGGCGACATTGACGACTCTTGGGCAACGGTCTTCTCCATCATCGATTTTTACCGACAACACGTGACCACGTTTGCCAAGTTTCACGGGCCTGGTGGCTGGTTTGATCCAGACATGCTGATGATAGGAAACCAAGGCCTAAGCTTCGAGCAAAGTAAAACACAAATGGCTTTCTGGTCACTTTGGTCAGCACCGCTGCTCATGTCCAATGATCTGCGCCGCATTCGGCCAGAGTTTAAGCGCATTCTGCAGAATAAGCACCTGATTGCCGTAAATCAAGATTCTCTTGGCATTATGGGCCATGTTGTTGTCGCTGATGCACAGGCAGAAAAACAAGTTTGGGTTAAGCAACTGTCCCCTGATGCTAATGGCCAAACGCCGTACATTGTCCTCTACTTTAACTACAACACCTTGGGGGTGCCTTACTATGTAAGTGTTATACTTTTTGTTAGAAAACTGCAAAACTTAATTGAGAATTTTTCTTTAGATGTCTTACCAGTTGTCAAAGCTGATTCCGGAACTAAAAACTGGCCTCAAATACAATGTGCATGATCTGTTTGAAGATAATGCAAAGATTGAAAGTTTGACGGCTGACCAAAACTTGAGACTGCTCGTAGAGACGNCTCAAATACAATGTGCATGATCTGTTTGAAGATAATGCAAAGATTGAAAGTTTGACGGCTGACCAAAACTTGAGACTGCTCGTAGAGACGTCAGGCAGTGTTCGTATGGTAAAACTGGTGCCAGTTGTAAAAAATGTTTTTAATTAAAAATTTGTATTTTCATGTTATCAATTAAAAAATACGTTATCAATAAAAATCATCAAAGGACAAACGTAGGTTAGGTAGACGGACGATAATTAGATGGGCACCTGGCTCAAGTGCTGCTGATTAGATCGTTACGTAATGAGAAAATGAGAGCAAATATTTGGTATCTCAAGAGCTTTCTAAATGATAACGATCAGGAGACGATTTAACGATATTAGAACATTTGTATAAAATAGTCTGTATGTGAGCATTGTATCTCAGCTGCTGAAAAGAGCATACACTAAAAAGATGTTTAAGCTGGTTTTGATTTTCCTAATAGCGGCTGGAGCTCAAGCCTGGAACAATGGCCTTGCACGAACACCACCAATGGTTTGAATTGATTGATTGCAAAAAGTGAGTCAATTAACTAACTCTAATTACTTTCTAGGGATGGCTATCTTGGGCAAAATATGAATGCGAAATCAACTGCCACGCCTACCCAAAAGAATGCATAGATGAAAATTTATACAAAGACATGGTGGACAA